TTATTAGCGATCATCTTCGGAATTCGGATTAAGTTTAAACCATCATTGTTGGTTTGCTTATTAACTTTTTAAACTTTTTCCATCAATTATTTTTACGAAAATAATGCTTTTCTTTACGCGATCATAAAATATAAAATAATTTCTTAAAATACTGCCAGGTTTCGCAAAATGATCCTTTTCTCAGTTTTCTTAAATGAGAAACCCTGTATATTATTGGATTTTCGAATTGCCACTTTAATAGCAATTTCAATTATATAATATAGTACGGGTCTTTGACTTACCGTCTGGCTTAATTGGCAAATATTTTCCAATAATACATAAATTCTTTTAGATTCATAATTCAAGAATCTTGTAAATAAGGTCCTTAAATGGAGAAACAGCCTTTAAAATATATTCTTGGCAATATATATATATATATATATATATATATATATATATATATATATATATATATATATATATATACACAAAACGGTAGTCGTGACCGGCTAGTTGAACAACAAATTTTAGTTAATTGGGACCGATACCCCAATTAACTAAAATTTGTTATATATATATATATATATATATATATATATATATATATATATATATATATATATATATATATATATATATATATATATATATATATATATATATATATATATATATATATATATATATATATATATATATATATATATATATAATAAATATAATAAACAAAAAATTGATGATATTATTATATATTATGTATATTTTCAGCGTATTTTTTCAGACTTGCACTATTTTCTATTTGTTTTATTAGGTTGCATTTTTTTTTAGGCTATTTTGTAGGTACATGTATGTATATGAAGGAGGAAAAAGTTGGCCTATTGGAATGTTACATCGTCAATAACAAAAGTTCGGCTCTTGCTCTCAGACAACGTAGAGACAAATTTCTCCATAGGCGATTGATAGGAAAAAAAAGATTTGCAAAAATGTACCAGCAGTTTCGAACAAATGGCAGTGTTTTAGCGAAAAAAAGTAGGAGCCGAACGGTTTTGGATGAAAATACGCAGCTACATATCCTTCTGCATTTTGAAAATACTCCAGAGAGCTCCACCCGCCTTGCCGCTTACCACACTTGAAACCTGTTTAAAAATTAACAGTTATAAGCCATTTAAATTGATACCAGTACAAAAACTACAAGAAGCAAATTTCAGCATATTTCAAAGTATAATTTGGACCAATGAATCAATATTTACAACGTCTGCGGTGTTATTTAATTATTGAAGTTAAAAAAAAATGTGTATTGAAGTAAACAAGCATGGGCGAAGATCTGTGAAAATATGGTGCCCAATCTGGAGATCTAGAATTTTAGGACCCATATTTTATCAAAATTTAACATCCTTACGATATTTAAACTTATTAAGGAACGAAGTACTTATACATAATAATATTTGTATACAATAATATACATATACATATAATACATATACATATAATATAATAAAATACCTCAAATAGAGCATCCAAATTTAATTTGACAGCAAGATGGCGCTCCGTACCATCGAAGTACTGCAGTTACGCGATTTTTAAACGAAAGTTTCAGAGAGTGGATTGGACAAAACACAACCATCTCCTGGCCAGCGAGGAGTCCAGATTTGACCCCCATCGACAACAGTTTTGGAAGTGCAGCAACGAGTTCTCGCGGCAATGCACTGAATGAAACGAATTACGTCTCAAATTTAATTAATTTTACTTGTAAGTAATATGCATTAGTAATTAGTGTTAATTGTTTTATTCATTTCACCTAGACATTTGAACGTAGAAATAAATAATTTGCGACATTAGGCAACATTGTGCAAAGCTTAATATTCTGTTTTTAATATGACTTCTTAACAATGCTCTAAAATAGTTGTGAACAGGTTCATATCTTAATAATTTAAATCTTATACCCAGTTTTTAATTTCATCTCCCAATTAAGCCAAAACGATAAGTCAGAGACCCGTACTATGTTATATAATTGAAATTGCTGTTAAAGTAGCTATTCGAAAATCCAATAATATTCATGGTGTCTCATTTGAGAAAATTAAGAAAAGTATCATTTTGCGAAACGTTCCAAGGTCGAGTATTTTAAGAAAATATTTTAAGTTTTACTAAATAATATCTGCACGTACGTTGTTTCCTACTAGCTTTTGGCATATTAGCAGAATAAGTGCCATATTTTCTGCGCTTTATATTATCACTACGACTTGCAAGCAGAGTTGTATTTACAAGAGACATAAAAAATAGTCTAAGATTAGACGCATGAGGCTACAATTGCGGGCAGTAACAATGCTGCGGGAGACTTTTCTTTCCTGGAACGCAGAATTCTTTCTTTTTCTAAAGGTGTCAAATGTTTCTTCGCTCTTTACTGTCTTGACGAACGTTACTGGTTTTGATCATTTCCTGCCTTTGAATTTCTATTGGAATGTCATCTTCTATACTCGCTGATACACCACTTTTATTTGCAAATTTTCGCTCATTTTGTGGTTTAAAATGTAAAAAAAACAGCACCAACGAAAAAGCTGTTAAAGCTGTACAAGACAAAGTAACATATGTGTTCGTCATGTGCAATATTGTGACTCTTAGGCCTGTTTATCGGAGATTTCAAATCACTCCTAAAGATGGCGGCATAAAGGTTTATGTACAAGTTCCTGATGGTAGGCTGCAAAACTGCAACAAAAGCCGTTTCTAATAAATTGACACATATGCCCTTATGGATATTTCACTCTTCGTATGTATTTAGACAATGGACTAAATAAAAGTTTATTAAAAGAGTTTATTTGTTGTATTATTAAGGCTCTTAAATGTTCTTTTGAGTTGATATTTTTCGTCCTTTCTTTCCAATGATTCTTTGTCGCATATGCATGGAAGGCTGTAAACTTCTGTAAACGTTATTTTGTCTTTGAGAGATCGACGATGTTGGAAAATTGTTGGACAAGTGGTAAATCTAGTTTTGTCATTATATTTCTTAAGAACTTTTGCATTGTGTATAAGGAAGGACAACAGTGGCAACTGTGGGGTTGCTTTCTTGGGAATGTGGAAATTACTAGAGAGAACAGCAGATGTAAGGTATGGGTTTAGTGACTCGGGTTGAGAGTTGATAACCGATGATTTTCGGGCCGGATAGTGATGTGATAATGCATTAAGGTATTGGTCTGTCTGCATAGATTTTCTGTACACAGAGTGACCTTATATCTAAGAAGGGGAAATTATTATTACTTCCATTAGAAACTCAAATAATCTCTTGAATTGTCAAACAGATGTTAGGTTGTATAGAGTTAAAAATCTCGTTGAGATTCTTGTCCATGGGGCCAAATAACAAAAGCATCTTCAACATACTGTTTCCATAATTTTGGTTTTAGATGGAAGTTGTTGAGGGCGTTTCTCTTAAAGGCTTCCATATCTATTCGCGATGACTGGTGGTAATGGAGAACCCATAGATATCCCCGACGTTTGTTCAAAAACTTCAACGTTATAAAAGAAACATGTTGCAGACAAACATTTTTCAAATAAGATGAGAAGGTTTGGATCCAGATTCTTTTGGATTTTAATATATCTGAAATAATGTTGAGGGTTTCAAGAATATTGACTTTAGTAAAGTGGAATTCTACGTCGAAACTAACTAGAATATCCTGCGGATCTAATGTTATGGTTTTTAAATGTTTAATGAAATGAAAATAATTAAGTCCGAAACTATCAGTGGTCCCTGTAAAGGATTTCAATATATTTTGTTGGAGTACCGATGTTGCTGACAATAGGTCGAAGGTGTAGTCCTGGTTTCTGAATCTTAGGGAGTCCGTAGAGGCGAGGAGTTTTAGAGTCAGGGTTTTGACAGACTTTTTCACGGGTTCTGATGATAAAAAGCCTTAGTAAGAGATTTAAGGTTGGGTTCCATAGATTATATAGGATCTTTTATAAGCTGACAATAGGATCCGTCTGTAAGACTATCTTGATTTTTTTCCTGATATTCATTTGTGTTCATGACCACTATTTCCTTTATCTGCTTTTAGAATTACGATGTCGGGGTTTGATTTAAGAGATTTTAGAGCAATACGTTCAGGCTTTGGAATATTAGATTTAGGAGGTTTTGTTTTTTAAGAATTTTAGCTGTTTCAAATCGAATTTCATTAGCTGCTTTTTGGAACCTTTTGCAAGAACTGATTTTCCTTCTCAGAAAGTTGATGCCATGATACATCTACCAACGTTTTTGGTAGTTCAGAATTGTTGGCCACAGTTTTTCAAATTTTTGAATGTGGTTCTGAGTAGAAGATAAATGAAGATTTTCAACTTTGTCGTGAATCGTGTTTGAAATGGTATTGAACTCGGACGGGGACAAACAAGATGGAAGCAACTTCAACATGTATAGACAGACGAGTCTTATTGATTTGTTCTATTTCGTTACGGGTATGATGAATGCTTTCTTTTTGACATGATTGGATATTTTATGGAGATTAGGGAAAACGTTATGGTCTCTACAACGTAACAAAAATGTCAAGGTGCAGAGTAATCTTACCAGTTTCATTCGGTGATCTTTTAACTTTCTGCTTTGGCACTTGATTTCCTCTCCATAAAGGCTTGTTAACTGAACTGAGGTGGCCTTTACTTGATGAAAATCCATTTATCAAAATAAATAAGAACTATTTTGGCTTGTTAACTTTTTAATGATATTTCAATAGGCAAGCAAGGCATAGCAAGTTCGATTCCTCAATCATCGACGTAGGAGGAATCCTGAAGTTTTGTAAATAGTTGAAATATTTTGCCTCTATGTTAGTGAGAACATGATTATTTTCCATAATTCTGATTAAATTTCAACAACTAACTCCATATTAATATCCTCGTTGTCCATGTGTATACAGAAACGTTAAAATCTGCCGCTGGAAATGCGCTATTGTCGGCATGCGCCGGTGTCAGTTAAAACCGTATTGTTCTCGCAAACTCGTGAAACTTCTCGTAATCCTCGATTATTTCAACTCGTGTCTGAAACTTACCAACGTGTATATCGCAGCGATTATGGCGGTATGTTTTGCGTTAAGTACTCGGAAACAACCTCTGCCGACGACGACTTCATAAGGATCGAGCAGGGCGGATTTCATTGCAAACTACAGCATGCCGACGCTCTGCGAAAAAAAGGAAAACTAATTATGGCATAAGTAACAAAGCGGAATAGAGAGTGCTCTAAACGCAATTAATATCACCGCGGAAAATGCAATTTGCACGGAGTTATTGCGGAACTTAATCTCAAATATAAACCGGCGCTTAGACGAATGCGCATGCTAACTAATTGTGTGTTATTTTAGAATAAACGTCACGTACTGCGTTAGGAAATTAATTTATCATCATGGTTAAGTTATCAATTAAACACACCAACAAATATTTTGTGATTTGAGTGACTGAACTCACTGTATCTAACTAACGCGTTCATCTGTTGGATCTCTACCACGAAGGTTTTGATACAAGAAGAGCTATAATTGAGTGGCTGCCTTGGTTACCCGACCTAGTGCTATTAGAATTTTGTTTTGTGCAAAAATACAGAAAACAGAACTCCACGTGACACATGTTAATATATACGAATACTCGAGTGTTTTAGAGGGTACGACAACAGTTTGAACATTAAATTGATTAATGCGATAGGTTTTTAAGAAAAATTAAAGAAATTTTTTCTTTTTTCAAACTCGTTGGTATTTCAGAGCTTCATTAATATTTTTTTTAAATAAACGGTTTTCGATTACTGAAAAGTATAGGTTTATAAAAACCTTTTTTACCTTCCCGTCATTAATATTTCAAAAAATAAACAAAAAAATAAAATAGGGACATCCTAGCTTAGGGGTTTTCTCCTTTTTCATCTTTCGGTCTGGTATAGTTTAGCATTGTGTTTTCTAATTGAATGTCAATAATTACGGGGGCGACTTTTGGGTCCATTTTAACATATGAGCATATGTCCAAAATGTCTTAACTTTTGAGATACAGGTAAAGTTTTGAAAAATGAAAAAATTTAATGAAATTTGGCACACATGCCGTATATATCGAGATGCATTATTTAGTGTAACACATTTTTTTAATACAACAGTGGCGGGCGTGCGGATTTCACTTGTCTATTTTGCCAGACATTGCTGGTACTCCACTGATTTCTCTTAAAATAAAAATTATTCTTACAATATCCGATGATTTCTAAAGAAATTTAATTCCTTAATGTTATTCAATCCGATGTATGGTTTTTGCTTAAAAGAATAAAAACCCCTTCTCTGCATGGTCATAACAATATCGTTAATATGACCGCATGCATAGAATTATTATCATCATTATTTTGTATTTAAGTAATGATCTCTCTGTATTATTAAAATATGAGGTGTATTTCATAAATCTTTATAATTATTTGTTAACATTGTAGTAGGCTGTGTGTGTAAGAATTATGAATTCTGTTGGTAAGGCGGTTGTTTGATAGTTCAGTTTTTAAATTAAATTCTTCCGGTCTTATTAATTTGGTGTTTAAAATCTCCTAGAATTTTTATTTGAAACAAGAATGTTCAAGTTGATTAATGAGAAGTTGACAGATATGAATTTTATGTATGGTTTGGCTGATGGCAGTGCGCCAGAAGCTAGGCGATTATATCAAGGGCGCTTTCCTAATAGACTCAGTCACACCACAGGCGAATGTTTTCAAATATATATAAATGAAATGTATATGACTGAAACAGGTACTTGACGGCAACTGATTATTTAAAAGAAGCGCATCGGTCTGTAAGAACTCTAGAAATATAAGAAGCAATTTTTATTTCCATTGATGAAAAGTCTGCACTTAGTACTAGAAAAATTGGAAATAATCTGCATCTATCGCACGTCTCGATTTGGAAAATTTTGCACGATTTTCTATTTTACCTATATCATCATATCCTTTGCGCGTTATCCCTTGTTTGACCAAGAAATACTATTTACAGATGAAATGGAATCAGAAATTTCCATAATAACCATATTTGGGCCGATAAAAATCCCCACGCAATTGTAGAATTTAAACATCAAGAATAGTTTTTGGTAAATGTTTGGGCTGGAATTGTTGGAAATTACATAACTGGACTCTCTTGCCTGCCAGACTGGCTAAAGGGCCTTAATTATCGCCGATTTTTAGAAGGGTATTTGCCAATATTGCTAGAGGAAGTACCATATTTAATTAGAGCAGAATGGCGGCGCGCCTGTTCACTTTGGTGTTGCAGTAAGAGAATATTTAAATCTCACATTTAATAACCGATGGGTAGGTCGCGCCGGACCTTCACCATGGCATCCTAGGTCCCCAGATTTAAATAGTTTGGACTTGTTCACAAGGGGCACCTTAAAAGTCTGCTTTATCGCAGCCCAGTTAACACTGTCGAAGAGCTGAAGGATCGTATCATAGTTCGATTTAATAAGAAACACTGAAGGTATACCTCAAAGAGTGTGTATCAATATGACGAAAAGAGCTGAAGCGTGTATCCTTTACGGTGGAGGACACTTTCAACAACTTATCTAGTTTTTATGTACTACTAATTTTTCAAAAACTTTGTTATTAATTTATTAACAGACAATTTGGTTAAAAATGATTAATAGTAGGTAGTTTTTTTTTAAATAAGAATAGTTTATTATATATCTCGTTGTTAGGATATTATGTTATTTCATTAAAACTGTAAAAGTAAAAAGAACAGTCTTATAATATTTTTTCTGAAGCACACTAGTTGGTAAACAACTGTTTTAGATAGATATTTTATTTTTCAGAAAAAAAATTCTCGATTTAACCAGTGCAGTGGCGACTTAATTGTCCAAAATATTATTTTGTTCATAGACAGTTAGTGGCACCTCACTGATTTCCTTAAAAAAATAATAACTTTTGCATTCATTTGTGAGCAGATTTGATATTAAAATAAACAATAAAAACTCATTTCTTTGCATGCTGCCATATTAATGATTTGTTATGACCATGCAGAGAAAAGGTTTTAATTTTTTTAAGCGAAAACCGTACATCGATTTGAAAAAAATCAAAAAATTAAATTTCTTTAGAAATGATTGTAAGATAAGAAGATTATTTTAAGAGAAACCAGTGGCGTACCAATAATGTCTGCCAAAATTGACATGTGAAATTTTGTGCACCCGCCACTGGTGTATTTTAAAGAAATTGTGGTATACAAAAAAATGCCTTCTGATACATAGAACATGTGTGCAAAATTTCATTAAAATATCTAAAGTGGTACTACAGATATTATAAAAAATATATTATTCTTGAGAACTTTAAAACCCTCTTTTTAAAATTGAACCAAAAATCACCCCCTTAATTTTTGACCTTTAATTAGAAAACACCCTGTATAGGCCATGTCGATGTTGATTTTTTTCGATCCAATTCAACAGCTCAATATTTGCCATCTAATAACGACGGGAGACACTCCGACGAAAATTGAAATACAAATTCGGGTCCTCCTCGACCCTCGTTTACACACGCGGACCGGTTTTCACATTTTCAACGAATTCGTCTCCTGACCCCTCTCGACTCCGAAAATCCCACTACCGTTAAATGCACCGGGCACGATAATAGATTAATGGAATTTGTAAATGGGCTATTCACCGCGGCTAGGAATTAAATTCGCGTGCCTCCGACGTATTATTTGAATTCCTGAACAAATAATATTCACCTTTCGTCAAATGTTTTGCCATGCCCACTGGATTAACGTGGTTACGTCGAAATTTCCGACGCGAGCGAATATCTCACTCGATTCGAGGGTTAACTGAATAATGTTTCGTGCTAACACGAATATGGCCGCTATTTGCTGTCGCATAAAACTGAATAAAATATCTCCTTCTACATCTTATTTATCAATGATTTCGTTCATCACCTACCTTTCTTGAAAAAAGCCTTTCTTTCTCGGAGCCCTTTCATTTTATCCATTATAAATCCTATTTACAAAACTTTTGAATTCGTCCTGCGTCGATTGATGATGAACTGAACTTGCTGACGATTCGCCAATCATCTTATTGGCTTCTTCAGTACTTAACTGAAACTGACGCGCATTCTACTCTGTACCTGCGTATATTTTGTTTGAGGGGGCAGGAGCTAAACCAGGGGCATGAACATTGTCTCGGATGATTGATTTCCACATTGGTGATAGGTAAAGACCTAAGTAGATTTCTAGGGAATCTCGGATTTTTCGTTGGTAGAAGAATTGATTACATAAATTTTATGTCCGGTTCCGTGCTTGTGTTCGGAAACTGCTTCTGGACTCATTGTCTTTGGAAGGTTGTGTGCATTTTGTGACGGAACGCTTAATATCTCTAATGTGCAAATAATTAGAGAGACGAACAGATGCGTTAATTTTGGGTTCAGTGATTCGGGCTGGAGATGGAAGAAGTACCGGTGAAGGGTACTTGGTCCTATCTCGAAATTGTAGTAAAAGATTAGGGTGAAAAAAGAAATTAGACTAAAGCGGCCAAGGGAAAGAGGTAGATATTATCTCTAAATTTCTTGAATGACAGCTAGATGAGGCGTAATCACATTCGTAAATTTTAAATCCAGTTTTTGAAGTAAATGCAAATGCGAAGCATCGTTGAATGGTTGGTTTTGGGAGTGTCGGAAATAAATATCAATGACTACATCGCTAGAGGGAGTGTTACGACATCGCCGCAAGTTAAATTTATTTTATTATTATTAATTTATATCACTTTTATTGCAACAGAGAGAGCCAAATAGGAGTTTAACATTCTGATGAAAACCGCATTTTAGATATATTTTTTCTAACATACAATGTTAGTAGAAAAACTAGAACTGGAAATAATTATCAGAATACCTAACAATAATTTTCCTTCTTATTAGTTGCGTTTTAAAAATTAACTGGAATCATGTCAAACAGTTGTAGAGGTTTTTTATTTTGATTTAGTTCAAAAGTGAATACTCATATTAAGTGAATATGTGCAAAACTATTTTTGGTTTTCAACCCTTCTATTGATATTATAGATTAGGAAAAGTATATCCAAATGCCGTGTTTACTAGCGTGTTAGGCCCTTATTTGACAGTATTTTGTTGCAATAAAAGTGGTATCATTGTCTTTAATTTTCTTGAGAAAAGAATTTTTATTTGTAGTCATGCCCGTGATACAAGCAATCTAAATCAAACCACCCGGGCCTCCGAAGTTAGCCTAAGAAGCCTTTCCAGCCGCTCGAAGTTTGACAAAAGACGCTTAGTCATTCTGAAGTTATTGATGTTTATTTCCGTAAATGTTCGGACACAACCGCCTTTCCCCTTAAGTGGTAAAAGCAACGAAAAAGAATCGAATTAAAAGATTATTATTTCCTCTTAGTCGCTTTAGTCCTATAATTTTTTACTAGTAGTGTTTACGACAACTACTTTTCAAGGTGGTCGGGTGCTCCTCCTAATTGGCTGCAATAATTGTCAAGCAAATAAATTAATATTAATATTGGCAATGCTCAAAAATCTGGTAATGAACTAAAATTCGGGCCGTAACAACGTCTTTGCAGCTGTATCCTACTGGAGTTGTGTTCTAAAAAATTCATAGGCGTTTTGCTAATAAAAGATAAGAAAATAAAGTTTTTTTGAAATTTTGATGTTATATTTAGATACTATTTAATCACCCCTATGACAGAAGATCTATATGGAATATTACCTGAATCGGTTATATTAAGACAGTGTAGTAGAAAAAGACGGCTAGCACTTGGAATTCTTGTCTTTTTCTTGCTCGTTTATTTAAATAGGTAAGTGGGGTATTAACATTTTTTTATGACTTTATTTGCATTATTATTTTATCTTCAAACAATATTTTCTTTAATCATTTGCATAAACTAAAATTTAAAAGAACTTCTTATAAAAAACCTTCTAAAAAACGCATCTACAGTTAGAAATTGAAAATATGCAAGTTTAGTTATGTGTTAGTAATGTATTAAAATATTTATTATTAAATATTGGTTAGAAAATAGCAATATGTATTTTTTTGGGAGTATTAATCCAAAACATATTTGGTAAGTATTATTATATTTGGTATTTCCTAAAGAAGGAAACAAATTTAAACTTTCTTATTAAATCAATAGGTAATAATAACTAAAAAAAATTAAATTTAATAGTACTAAATTAATATTTATTGATCATGCGAAAAATTTAGCAGTAACAATCGATACTAATTTGCGTTTTAGAGAACATCTTAAATATTTAGTTACAACAAGCATATTTTATACTCTCACAGTTTGACTATGAACCTTGTTTGACACAAATCCGGCATTTACTCATAAAATTATTTCACTACTACTGCAACGTATGACTATATTTTCCAAATCTTTATATTTCAGTCGATTACCCTGCACATTCAACTTCCACACAATTCTAAAATTTCAATAGACATTGAAAGAGTTTCTCTTGAGTAAGCTATAATAATGGCAATGGGTTTTTGTGCAAGTGCTGCTGTTCGGGAGATTACTTCAGCGATTTCTAACATTTTTTTAAAGTTCTAAAATTTAATTTTGTTATAATAGAAGTCAATATGTGTTGAAATAAAAACAATTTAATTGGTTAGAATTTTTGAGCTGTTCAAGTTCGTGGAGGTTGCTAGACTTCGCCTGTGTGTATGTTATAAACAGTATTATTTGTTTTTAATAAAGGCTGTGGTGTATTTATTTTATTTATATCTAAATATTACGCTCAGTTATTTTGAAATTATTTTATAATACTTAATTTTTGTAATTAGAGATCTTTTGCATATTTACGTACATACATATTTATATATTTTATTTATATAATAACCCAATGAGTATTGTTCACTGCAAAGAACATGTAATGTGCAATAGAACGCAGCACAATATTTTTTTAAATGTTTATTAAGTAACACTAGCACGTAGATAATATTATACAGACATGAACAAACTATTCTGATTTTTGTGTACATGAACTTTTTTTCTGTTAAACTTACCGATTAACCGTGCGGAAAATGTCACTTTAAGACGTCGCTTTGTTACCCATGGAGTTTAAGCCACAGACGGTATTTTGACGTTTTGCAAAAACTAATAGTCATAGAGCACTTATAATATGCAACACGTTTATAAAGTTCTTTGAACACTCGGTTATTAACACTATACCGGCCGTTTAGAAATCCTAATTACGTACGGCGCTTGCCGAAACATTGTCCTGATACCTAACTACCGAATACCGTCAATGCTCAGTGATGTTGTTATAGCTGAGAGCCGGCATATTTTATTTTAAAGTAGGATATAATATTAGGGCTATTTGATTTCAATTGAAAAAACCGGTTTTATTTTTTCGATGGGGGGCAGGGGGGCGAAGTCGGGGGGGCTATCTCGGAAACGGTACGACCTGGGGGGTCGGGGTTCTCGCCATCGAATTCAGAAAAAAATCTCGAGGAGGAAGCGACCTCAAAAAATCGCTTTTGAGGAGGTAGCCCTTTTTCGGTTTTTCGAGGTTTTCGGAGTTATTTGAGGTCGGATCGGGGCGCGGACGGTATATTCGCGTAGAGGGGCCCGAGGCGCACCGGAACCCTCAAAAAGGACGCCCCTCAAAATTGAGGAGGTATTGAGGTTAGGGAGGGTCTCGTCTCCTATGGGACGGATCGAAAATTCGAGTACCTACGTCGACGCGCCTATACCCGGGCGTCGTTCTGAAGGCCCATGTCCTATACCCGTCTGTGGAGTTTTTTTTGAGGGCGCCTCCTCAAAGTTCAAAAAGTTTGCTATCTCCGAGGTTTACCGGCCGAATCGCTTCGAAACCGGCACGGGGGGGTTTCTCGGGTCGGAAACGCCGGATCCGCCCTCAAAAATCTCCTACCTCAAAAACTCAAAAATATGACCTTTTTCAATGTTGTCGTTGAACGCGTCGATTAAGGTCGCGTTAGGTCCGGCCGGGTTCGGATCGATACGGGAGGTGGTCGAAGGAACGGCCTTTCTTACGATACCCTCCTCCCCGATCTCCTCCCAAACGGGGGGCGACAAGGGGGGATCAAAAAAAAGGACCGCGTTTTTCACTTTCCCAAAATCGGAAATCGAAAATTCCGACCTCGGGGCGTGAGTGAGGTCGCGGAGGGGCGTCGAGCGCCGCCTTGCCCTACCTCCTCAAAAATTCCTCAATATTGAGGTAGCGTCGGATTTTTGAGTATTTGAGGTCGGGGGCGGACCCGACCCGGACGCCCCGAAAGCCCTATACTCAGGCCACGCGTCGAGCCCGAGATCGACAATTGGCGAATTTTTTTGTTGAGGTTTTGAGGAGGTCAAAGGTCAAAAAGTTTGCTATCTCCGAGACCGTCGTTCCGATCGGGACCCAACTCGGTAAAGTTCTGGAGGAGGTCGGGGGAGGAAGTACCCGACCTCCCTCCTCCTCCCTCCTCAAAAAAATTTTTGAAAATTTTTCGGCGGCGTCCCTTTCGAAAAATTCCCCCTCCCGCCCTATGGGACCGGGAGGGGCGCCGAATTTTTTTTAAGTAAAGGGAGGACGGGGCTTTCGCCTGACGCGGTCGGATCCGAGGTCGGTCCCATAGGGAGGGAGTGCCTCCCACAAAAAAAATGCTCAGTGATGTTGTTATAGCTGAGAGCCGGCATATTTTATTTTAAAGTAGGATATAATATTAGGGCTATTTGATTTCAATGCTACATATTTCTCAATTTTAGGTTTTTGTAGTATGATAAAATAGTTCACTCGGTTGCTAAGATGGATAGAAATATAGTTCTGTGCAGTGTTTCGATTAATAGATTTTAAAATATTTAATCTTAAAAAAAACAAGAAAAAAATACCAACAAAAATTATTTTTATTATATATTGATTTATTATTTAGATTTAATAATTTTTTTTTGTGTGATAATCCTCAAAACATTTTCCCATACATAAAGGAATTACACAATATGAGCACATGAAACAGGTTTCCTTCCTTTTTCCGTTTTTTTTGCAAACTCTGCAGCGCTTTTGAGGAAACTTCTTATTGCCTGAACTAGTAATTTTCACAATTTTATGTTGTCTCATGTCTGCAGAAAGTCTCATTGGTGCATCTTCGCGAGAAACTCTCTTGGATACATTTCCTGGACTCTCTGAATGAACATATCCTTTTTCAATCCAGTTTTGCGCAATATTTTTCAAAAAAGATGAAAATTTTATTTTTTTTCCTGGATTCAGAACCTTGAAGACAACAAATGAATTGAACAGTGCAGTATTTAATATGAACATAAAAGCCTTCTTTGTCCATTTCACAGTTTTTCTTATAATAGGATTATAAGCAAGGTATTGGTCTGCTATATCAACTCCCTTCATGTACTTATTATATTCCAAAATTGTTTCTGGTTTTTGTATCAGATCGCCAGTTTTTCGATTTATTTTCTGGGTTTGTATCATTCGAGCCTGGTGTATTGTTGAAATCATTCTTACAACTCTTTTATCTTTCCAAATATGTATTAGAATTTCACCTTTTCTACGGAAGTTGTGTTGTCCTTGTTTTAAAGTAATTTTTTTTAGATCGTGTGGTAGCCCGCGGTTCTCTCTTATAGTTCCACAAATTCTTATCTTTTTGTAGAGTAACTTCTGTGCTAACTGAACACTGTTGTAGTAATTGTCCATGTAAACATGGTGCCAAATATTTCCATAACCATCTAAAAGGTTTACGACCAGGTTTTGCAATGTTTCTCCATTGCCACTATATAATTTAAATTTGCATATATATCCAGTGTCGGATTCACACAACATTCTCACTAATAACCCATACTTTGTAATCTTTCCTGGGTTGTACACTCGGAAACTTACTCTACCTCTGCAAGGAATCATGGCTTCATCCAACGATAGATTTTGTTTTGGTTTATAGACTTTATCAAACTTCTCTATAAAGTATTGCATTATTGATTCTACTTTAACAAGTCGACTTGCGTCATCAGGGATTGCACTATTATCGCAAAAATGTAGTGATTGTAGTATTTGCCTGAATCTATTTCTAGTCATGATTTTACCAAAAATTGGTGTTTCCATGTACGGATCAGTAGTCCAATAATCGTTAACATTATTTTTTTTTACTTGTCCCATCAATATATTCAAAGCTAAAAATTTCTTGATTTCTGTTATCGTGGTATCTCGCCACTGCTTTGTGCTTTTTACACGTTTATATTTATGCATGTTTTGCATATAATATCTATTTGTCTCTGTTACTAATAATTGAAAAAAATCATCATCTATAAACAAATCCACCACGTCTGAAATATTTTCTGCATTTCTTGGGAACACTTTAACCCCAGAATTTCCCAAAAATGGGTTTACTGTAATATCGTTATCGATTTGGGACCAATTTGATGTTGAACAGTTCTGTTCGTTTTCCAATATCGTGTCTTCTGAATCGCTGCTTTCAGATTCACTTATAATTGGCAAAACATTTCTTTTTCTGCTACTTTCTGCTAAATCTGTATCGTCGCTGTTACATTCTTCATCATTTTCAAACTCAGATAATATATCGGCACATACCTCATTACATTTATTAATTAATTCAAAGTCGTCTTCTTCCATGATATCGCAGGGCAAACAATTAAATTAATATATAAATTACTTAATTAATCAGTCAATTCGTAAGTTAATTATTGCAGAACACAAGCTAACTCTTAAATTATCAGTTATAATGTGACATTTACTATGACAACAAAAAACGTACTACTACGTCAACGGCGCCTAGATTTACAACCAAAAATAACGTACCACTACGTCCACGGCACCTAGATTTGTCACAATTAATGACGTATTACTACGTCAACGGCTACAAGATTTTGGATGAAAAAAACGTATTAATACGTCAACGGGCACTAATGTGTTAAACACCCGCTGCTATGCGTTCTGCCGAGTCTAAATAAACTGGTGACTAAAGTGTCGTTAATAAAACTTGTAGCGTAATATGCACTTTTTTTTGCTTAATGGCAGATTTTACTAGCGCCATTCAAAATATATTTTACGTAGAGCAATTAACTATGAAATTTTACCGGTTAATTTAGACTGACAATTTGTGGGGAATAAGTAAGGTGTAGGAGGAAGGTTGGAAACCGCAAAAGGGCCTCAAGTGCCCTTCTCCCCCGCTGGTGACTATACTTGTCATTAAGAAACACATCCTTTTTGCTGTCAACGTTTCAGCTACGAAAGTCCGGGAGAACGACCAGCTTCGTATAACGAAATGTTTTTTGTTGATTGGCCGTGTAACGAAATTAATAAAATGATCGGGTGGCTGCCTAACGGGAAATAGATCCTGTAAACTGATGGTTTTTTCTTGTAAAATGGGCGTTTTTATTTTCAGCAAATGTTGTTTGAAATGACCACCAATGTTGGTCAAACTGTTGCAAATGTTTATAAATAATATTTTTGCAATTAATGACCGTAAAGATTACTATTAATTTCTATAATTCTATATTTCAGCTCAATTGAGAAAAATTATCCTTTTCTACTACTTTCTGGAAAATACCAAATTATACACCAATCTAGAGTGCGTGAAGCGTCGCTTTACCATGTGAGTTTCTTGCCCCATGGATCTGACCTATTTCAAATTACCAGGATATTACCGCACGACTTGAATTTTGACGTTTGTTAATTCTGACGATTATCTCATTGAATGTATTCGCGTTGTTGTTTTACGTTTATTAAACTGGAGACTCACATGGCGTTTACCACACTTATTGCATAATGTACTACAAATAATGTGGCTTTAATGGCTCTATAAAATGGTGATACCATTTGAAGCATTTCAACAAATTCAATTTGATTTTGGAATCTAACCAACAGCGTATCCGTACTAAAAATTAGCAATGTAGGTCCGCACATTTGTTACTCAAATATTTATATAATAATTCCGGTCCTGGTGAGGAACGATAAAGTTGTTTTGATTATTGCTCCGTGATTAACTCCAAATTTGGAAAGAATTACGAGCAAATAAATTGACTAAGTGATTACAGTGCAAGCAAATGGTTTACGACAAAGCATAGTGAAGACAATCCATGTAAGATTAAATCTGTAAAATCCGGATTCACCGATAAAGGTCAAGATTCGACGGGTAGACCGACTGACGACTTTTTGCGCGGTGAATAAGGCAATTTCAAAAAACTTTCCGATAGTACGATAGGAAGAACAGAGTGAGCTTGGAAATAATTGCGTAAAACATAGAAAGATAATAATTACTGAGTAAATATGGACAGCGACGGTAATACAACGGATGAGGGACGAAAAAGAGATGAACCTAATATCTTTGAGAGGAGTAAAAAAACCAGTAGAACCCCGAGCAAGACGCCCGAATCTAACGAAAACAAATGGGATTTACTTCTACGAGAATTGAGAGGAATTAAAGGAGAAATGCAACAGATAAGAGATATAAAACAGGAAGTAAAGCAGATAAGAGACCAACAAGAATACAGAGAAGAAGTGAAAAAACTGAGAGAAGAGATCAGTAGCATAAAAGTGGAACAAAAAAGAATTCAAAATGAATATATGAAGCAAAGAGAAGAACTCTTGGAAATCAAAAATACGCTTGAAAGACTGGAAAAGGCATAAAGAAAGAATAACATTGTTGTGAATGGATTACCAATTGATACCAGAGATCCAAATTTACTTAAACAAACTATAGGAAAATTTCTGAAACAGTATCTAAAACAAGAGGTTAACATCAAAAAGGTACATAGATTAGGAGAAAAAATATATCTAAATATATCTGTATTGAGTAAGGGACTCATAAATAAAAAGGAAATTTCTAAGGAAACTAAAATGAAAATTTAAAAAACAATTTACATGCCAATCCTTACATATGGCTCTGAATCTTGTCAGATAGGGACAAAAGCAAAATTGGAGCAGCAGAGATAAAATACTTGAGGAAAGTGAAAAGAATGACCAGAAGAGACAAAATTAGAAATGCACTTTACAGAGATTGGGCAGCACTCTACAGGTTAAAAGAGTTTGGCAGAGTTAAATGCTGGGAAAATGGAAAAGAGGAAGACCCAGAGAAACGTGGGACAGCACATTGGGAAAGATTTTCAAAAAGAGGGGACCAACATGGTTAGAATCTAAAAACTTAGCACTAAATAGAAAACATTGGAAACTTTTTATCGATAGCTGAATTGCATGCAGAAATGTCACCCTTTCACCCTAGTTGCGGAAAGGGACTAGATTATAGATATTTATATAATAAACAATTAAGCATAATATCAAAAAAGTGTAGTCCAGTAGAAGTTTTACTCATGTGTATGAAGACAGACAGGAATACAGGAATTACAGGGTGTCAAAGATTGTTTTCCATTGCATTTTCCTTAAAAAAGTTTTCTCTAGTTTGTCCAATAGTTTCAAATTTTTCGCACTTTTATATTTTCAAATTAAATTTTGCACAAAACCCTTAATGCCAAAACTTTCCTAAAAATTTTAGAAACCCACAATTAAAAAAGCTTTAAAACATACCCTCAGTTATTGTATAAGATTTGTTAGGTCAAGAGTATGTTTTTTAATGGAATTTAATTTTAAGCTTTGAAAATTTGCAATACAAATTGAGGACATTTTTTTAATGTCACGCGCAACTAAGGAGCTTTGGTATTAAGTCCAATTTGGTCTAAAGATACAGTGCCACGCAATATTTATTTCTCTAGTAGAATCAGCCCTTAAAATTTTTGCTTATCATTTCAGAAAACTCTGTACATGAATGTGAAAAAATGAAGAGAAATATCGGTGACAGGGGAATTTTCAATTTCAAGTTTTTATTTGATTTCTCCCCCTCGTTCTGCGAGAACTGTGTTTCGTTGTTCTTTTAACAATGTAAAGTCGCTGGTTCTAGAGGAGAGTCGTAAATTACGTTAAAAGAAAGAAAGGTTAATTTTGCCGCTGCTGTTGGATGGATGTGCCAAATTAAGAGTGTCCTATATATATGGAGACAAACTTGGAAGGGAAAAATCGCCTATAGAAAAAAGAGTTTCGTTATATCTATTGCAACTTTGTATATTATACACAGTTATATTCAACACTGAATCGACGAAGGATTAACAAGATAGCCAAACAATCTAAAAATATGTTTTTTTTACTGATTCAACCTTTTCTTAGCAACGCCATAAGTAAATATCAAATTAATCAGCTTTTTAATAATAAAATAATAAAATAGGAGCTAACAGTTGCTTTGAATAAAATGTTTTTTGAAAATCATGACTTTTTTGGTTCGTAACCTACAGCAAGTAAGAGAAGTCCTTCTTTTATCCCCTAGAAAAACTTGATATCTTGTTTCCTCGCGGATGATAATAATAATAATTTCAATTTTGTAAACTGCTTCGAGATATTTAACAGGAAATGATAAACATTCGAGTACCTCGATCGGATCAAGTTACGAGATACGCCCGTTTCCCTATCCCTAACTGCACATCCTACGTCTATGAACGACCCTTAAATTTGGTAGTACTTAACATCAGTCCCCGTTTTCCTGCCCCGCAGCACAGACTTATATTTTAAATGGAAACGCCAGAAGTCTCTCGTCTCTCAGAAAATCCTTTGCTAAGGAAGATGAATTATTGTAATATGGCATTAAAAAACTCTGACGTTTATCTGACAGTAAAAGCGGGGATGCTATAGATTTTCGGCGTAATTGCGGGTTCAGACAGGGAAAAGTGGAAGGCGAATGCGGAATGATAAGCGAAATACGGTTTATAAATATAAATTGTAAATCGTTCGATGATCACCGTGAAATGGTTCGAGCACGCAAATTTGCAATTTTTAACTTTTCGAAAAAATTTTACACTTTATAGGAGTACAAAAGCTGTTATTCGACATTAATCGAGATTAAAGCATTATTATACGGGGTGTCCCACGACATGACCGCAATAGTTTGGGAGTGTGTTGCCGGGGTAATTTCAAGTTAAAATTGTCAAATGAACAAATACCGGGAACGCTATTTTAACTGATCTACAACCGCTTTATTGAATTAATTGTTCCAGGATTACGTTCGGCTGTTAATATTATTATTAAAAAGCCTAGATTGCTGAGAATCTTACATACTGACAGTAAACGTCAAATTTTGAGTGTTTATTTTCGTGTGTTACATTAAAATTCTCTTTAAGGTACAATGTTTACTTTTTCGAATGAAGAACATTTACTATGTTTATGGAACTGTTTTTAGCAATACGTATCGATGCATCGACAGGCAAGTTTCCTACAGCTATTTCTGAACGTCCCCTTCAACAGGAACTTGCTCAAGAAAAGGCAATACTTAATACAATTGATGCTCAACCTTCTACTAGTGTGTGAATCGTAGGTAATAGACTAGGCCAGATGAGATTATGGAGAACTTTACACAATTTCAGGAATTCACATTGTTGGGCACTTGAAAATCCACAACAAACTTGGAAATCCCATTTCAAGATAGATTTTCGGTGAATATTTGGTGTAGCATTATTGATGACCGCATCATTGGTTCGTTTATAATTGAGGAATGTCTTACGGACATTCGTTATTTACCTTTCATTGAAAATGATCGTCCAATATTGCTGGATGATATTCCTTTTAATGTAAGACAACGAATGTCGATTCAGCACAATGGCGCACCTCCTCACTTTGGTCGCTAAGTAACAGAATTTCTTAATCAAAATTATACAAACCGCTAAATTCAGCAATTCCTTGGCCGGCAAGGTCGCCTGACCTTAATCCCTCAGATTACTTTTTATGGCAGAAACTATTCTTGCTGATCCTGAGACAGTTAGCAGCAATTCTAAGAAAAGCTAAACTATGTATACAGTAACTGGGTGGACATTTTGAAAAAATAGTGTAATAAAATAAAATATAAATAAATAGATAATAATAAAATATAAAATTAAGGGTTTTCCTTTAAATAGTCTTTAAAATTTGAAATACTTGTAGCTCAGTTAGAATAGCGTCCCGGGTATATGTTTATTTCATATTTTTAACTTGAAACCAACCCAGCAACATACTCCCAAGCTATGGTCGTCATTTCGTGGGACACCCTGTATAAGTCAATTTTTAAAATTTTATTGCTTATTAGAAACACAATAATTCCATTATCGCTTTAAAAATATTAACGGATTCAATTTAATTTTTTTAAATAGAATAACATAAAGTAAATTCAAATCCAGTCTTATCGTGCCGATTCATAGGTTACTAATTATATGAATCAAATCAGGAAACACAGCTACCAAAATTATATGCAATATCAATTATATTAGAACAAAGCAAAACATTATTTTTACAAATATTATGTTACAGTAGGAGTGACAAAAAAGCTAAATGCTATTTATTAATTAATAACAATATTTAACAGTCAAATTTATGTTAGAAATCGTCTAATATCACTAGTGTTTAATACGCAGCCAGTCATCAAGAAGCAGTGCGGAAACAGTGGGAATCAGCTTAAGGAAATAGGACATAGGAAATTATGTATAGAGAAATCATAATATAATGAAAGTAATAATAATATTACTAATAATGATATTAATAATAAGAATATCAATAATAACAACAATAATAACAAAGTCTCTCGACAACTTGTAAGACATTACAATATAGAGTTATAATTCAAGAGTGGAGACATTAGCAAATTCGAAAATAAAGAAAACATCAAATTAAAAAAACACGAACTATCACAATATCCATATCCATATCTATACCACTATTATTGTCCACAAAATATACACTAGTATATACATCGTAAATACAAGAAATAGACGCGCATCATAAACTCATAGTTTTTTGCTGGTTGGCCAAATGAATAATACATATACTTGTTTAAAGGATTTTATTGTGGGGAGGGATGTTATATCATAAGGTTTTTCGTTAAATATTTTAACTGCGTTGTAGCTAAAATATCTGTGGAAAGTCACCGTGAATATAATTTCCTCTGCATGTTTTATCATACAAGTATGACGGCGTCTTATTAGCGTTTAGTAAAAAAACACAGGCGGCGAACTGAACTTTATAAGGGTCCTCCAGCGGGAGATACTGGGAAATACTTTCGGAGATGATAAATAAAACGAATACAAGCATTTTGAAGGCGTTGGAGTTTCTCCTTATCTCGATTTAGTATCAATATCAATCAATTACCTAACCAAAACTAACATAGCACAGAGTTTAGGAATGATCCAACCAACGATTTACTATAGTCCAAAAGTATGACACAAAATGTTAATTTAGAATCAGCTGCTCTTAACAAATGATCAGTAACATAAAGCCAAGCAGGAGCAGTGCTGTGAAGAGATCGGAACTCTAACTGAACGTCTGTGAGCATTCTGTTATCGCATAGGAACTGACGAAGTTCTTTAGTTGCAATTTTTTCAACTAATTTTGTGATGGTGGGCAAAAATCTGATTAGTCTAAAATAATTAATGGTATAACTTTAGCTTGCTTCCAAGAGTCAGGAAAAAGCCCAAGATAGAGGACACTTGTTAACAAGGAGAGTGATATCAATACCACCGACAGATCCAAAAGAAGTTAAAGCAACATTAAAACTATTAGGTGGACCTAAATTGTTTTCAGACATTAAAATAGGATTGCCGTGCAAATAAAGTCTAGTCAGAGTAGGAGCAGTGTTAAATGTGCTTGCAAGCAATATCTGACTTATGACATAATACCAGGAACTTAAACAAAAGAAGCTGCTTAATGTTATTGACAAAAAAATTAAAAACCTTCTCCAGTACCACAATGATCCTCGTTGTCAATCCCGTCAGTCCCTGTTTGGTTTTTTATTTATTTATTTAAAGAAGTCTACCTAACAGGCAAAAGCCCAATTAATAGGGACGTTGTAGTACAAAGTATTAAATAGTTACAGAGGCGTCAAATAAACTCAAATGCCGTTTAGCGCACTTTTTGCATAATATACTATAAAATTTTCAATAAATTCATTAAAAAATGGTAATCATGGAGATCGCTAAGAGACACATAACCAATTCTATGTAATAATATTGTATGCGAAAAGCCTTGTGGGGATATACTCCGTCCAACTTATAACATACATCAAAAACTTGCGCTGAGTTTTTTTCCAAGTTATTAATATAACAATTGTACCTAAGAGACCAAAACTACTGATGCATACTCCAACTTAGACCTGAAATCTGAGGTATATAATATTTTTATCACTTCTGTACAACGTACGCTAAATCCATAGCTTTTTGAGGCTTCCGTCAGTACTTTAACATGAGGAACAAAGCATAATTTCGAGAAGAATATTACTCCCAGGCCACAAAAAGTGTTGGACTGGGAAAGAGTTTTATGTTATGTCAATGTCATTAACGAAAATGTTGCATACTAGTTGGCCGAATATTGAGCCTTGGGAAATGCCTGAGGAAGCAATTTATTCATCTGAAGTGTGACCGTAGAGATAGACGTACTGTATAGTAGCACTAAAATTTCGATCTATTCGATAACCATTATATTACCTCACTATCAGAAACAAAAATTCCTCGCGGACGTATTGTTAAATATTTTGACTGTTTGGTAAGTAGACCCTTAACGTGATAGTAAATTGAAACGTACTTGTCAGCTTTCTTAGGTATCACCATACAGGGGGCAGAGTCAGAATGTAGGTTACTATTGGAGTGAGATGCCTATGATGACATTAATTGCTACGGTCCGAGAATACTTGCTTTAAGCCTGGCACATGCGCCTCGATACACAGTGCAACCAGATACATTATTAATTTATAATATTATATTTCATTAATTAATGTGAACCAAGACATCTTTTGAGCTTGGCCGAATTTAAGACCATCATCTACATATTTTTCGTAATGATGTGGAGGCAATAGTAGAACCTCATGGCCATATTCACCCATTATTTCACCTATGGGACATTTTTCGGTGTCAGCATATTTGGTAAAGGATTTTGGTTCTGTTCTATAAGTCAGTGCTGAATATTATTTTTCTGCCAAGACAAAATAGGTTTCGTATTTAAAAGTTTTGAATGATACGCTGCGTTGTATAATGACAGAGCATCCAAATTTGATATCAGTTCTTTTAGCCATTTTTCAAACATTAGTGAAAACTTTTTGAGTTGGAAGGAAAATTAAAATTTGCCCCTGGAATATATCCTGTTGAACATGCAAAATTAAAAGCCGTTTTCCCGTGTCACATCCTTTCCTCTTGACACATTTTGCAGATCCATCTTACTCAGGTTTCGAACCTTTTTCATTGAAAAATATCGATGTTTAATATCCAACACACTGCATTTTTTTAGAATTTCTTTTAAAACAGAAAGAGTTGTATTCGTTTTTGATCTTTATACATCATAAATCGCATTCCAGAGAATTTCTATTTTCACATCTTCACTCAAATCTTCAATCACGGGCTTTCTTCGTTTTCACTAATAAGAACTGAAAGTTCAGGTTTTCACGAAATTATATATTTTTACATGACAATTGTTTCGACAACACCGTGTCTTTATAAACTTAGCAGACACAACTTTTTGCAGCACTCGTACATTAATAGAGAATTAGACTGTTTAGGGATCGATTGCGAATTAGCAATTAAGAACATTAACGATTCCAATTTAAACAGACATGTATTAGCGAATATAATAAACTCTCAATTAATAGACAACAAACACAAAGAAATTTCTCAAATGTCACTAGTAAAAACTATCAAAAACAAAGCTTCTGAAAATAACATAATATTTACACGTGCAGATAAAGGGAAGACAGTTACAGCTATCGATCTCCCAGAATATATTTCGGTAAGCAACAATTTTCTTAAACCAGAACTTTTCCAATGTATCAAACACGATCCTACCGAATTATATCAAAGAAAAGTCAAGGAAGTAATTACTAACTCCACACTATTTAGTGACAAAGACAAATATTTTTTAACAATTATGAATCCACAACCGGCGAAATTATATTCTTTAGTTAAATTACGCCCATTAGACCAGTCGTGTCTTATGTAACAGCTCCAGCAGTTAAACTCTCAACAAAGTAGTAAATATTTTAAAGTTCCACACAGATTTTAAACCAAAATTTGCAATAAAAAATTCATATATCCAAATCCCTTCTAACGCAACACTTTTGTCTTTTGATGTACAAAACTTGCAGGTTAAAAAACAGGTTAATCCATTGGTGAAACAAGATTTATTAGATTGCTTAATATTATCTTTAGACCAAAATTGTTTTGAATTAAATGGACAGATTTACATATCTAAAGAAGGTTTGATTATGGGAATCTCACTTCGTCCTTTGTTGACCGAGCGTTTTATGGATAATTTGCAAAATATCATACTGGAACATCCTTTAAGTAAAAGTTTTCTATGATGGTATAGATACGTGGATGATGTCTTTGCTTGCTTTGTTGGAACGGACAGACAATTGAATTCTTTTTTAAATTACAATAACTCATTACATAGACGTATAAAATTCACTATCGAGATTGAACAGGATAACTCTATTAATTACTTAACTATTACGAAAGCGCAAAACAAATTAGATTTTTGAATTTATCACAAATCTTCACGCACGGACACAGTCACACATAACAGCTCAAATCATCCTTATACGCACAAAATCGCTGCATTTCACTCTTTTATACACAGACTTCTTAATACGCCACTCTCAACAGAAAATTACAGTAAAGAACTTAATATCATCAAACAAATTGCACTGAACAACGGCTACAATCCGTCCATTATAGATAAAATTATAAATAAAATACAAATCCAGACAACAGTAAATTCAATTTATCCGAAACCTAATA